GAGACTTCACTGACAAAGAATGTATGCTTTATAGAACTACTTCAGGAAGTCATGAAATGAACAATAAATAGTGGAAACAAAAATTATGGGAAATGGGGAAAATCTAATTTCCAGTACTGCTGTAGCATAACATTTAAAATGTCCAAATTATAGGCGGGGGATATAGCTCAGTTGGTAGAGTGCTTGTCGTGCATGCACAAGGCCCTGGTTCAATCCTCAAAACCTAAAAAAAAAAAAAAAAAAAAGTTAAAAGAATGAAAATATACACTAACAAAATTGAACCCAGTTTAGAATATTTTATGTAGCCAAATAATGCCTCTCAGAATCTATTTATACTGATGGCAATAGGGACAGGTGACTGGTCTACAGGTTGCACATGCATACAAATAGGTCCAACTAGGTAGGAGCAAGCAAGAGCACAGCTCAGGGAGCATTAGAGCAAGCGAACAGTTTTCCCAGTCACTGTCAAGAAGTCATCATCAGCCAAGGCACGCAGCGCTTCTTCAAACATATCTTTGGTAATCGCCTTTGGGAAAGAGGAGAAAAATAAAAAAAAAATCACATCCCAAATCCCATCAACCTTCGGAGACATATTAATTTTTCTATTTATTTCTCTCTTTGGTGGTAGCACATATTTCTTATGTTCTGTATCAGGGACAGCAAACATTTCCTTAAAGGACTAGGTTTGGGATCCCTTCTGTCTTTGCTGTCACTACCCAGTTCTGCCTTCCTGGTGCCAGTATAGCCAGGGGCAATAAGCAAAGGCGTGTTTATAAAAACAAAGTAAAACAAAAACATCAAAAAGAAGACAGGGAGGGCTGGGGCTATAGCTCAGTGGTAAAGTGCTTGCTTTGCCTATGTGAGGCACTGGGTTCGATCCTCAACACACATACAAATACATAAAAATATTGCGTGTCAATCTACAACACACACACACACACACCCCCCCCCCAAAAACACCAAAAAACCCAAATAAACAAAAATAGCCAGGACTACATTTGACCCAGGTAGTTCTTTCATTTTTTTTTGTAACAGGAATCAAACCCCAGGGTGCTTAACAACTGAGGCACTTCCCCAGCCCTTTTCATTTTTAAATTTTGAGACAGGTTTTAAGTTGCTTAGGGCCTTGATAAATTGCTTAAGCTGGCTTTGAACTTCCAATCCTTCTGCCTCAGTCTCTAGGATTACAGGTGTGTGCCGCCCAGTCCATGTAGTTCTTTTTACTGAAGAATTCAACCTTTCCCTCCTTTTATTGGTCCTGGAGATTGAACCCTTGGGTACATTACTACTGAGTTACATCCTCAACCTTTTTATTTTTTGAGATAGGATCTTTAAAAGTTACTTAGTGCCTCACTAGGTTGCTGAAACTGGCCTCAAGCTCAATTCTTCTGCCCAACCTCCCTTGTTGCTGAATAACACCGCACCTGACTTACAATTCAACTTTAATTATTTGCAAAAGGCACCCAAATATTTCATCCTTAAAGCAAATTTATACACATAAAAATACTATGAAAGGGCATAACAAACTTTTTTGTTTTTTGGTACTGGGGATTGAACCCATGGGTGCTTAACCACTGAGCCATATCCCAAGCCCATTTATTTTTTATTTTGAGACAGGGTCTCACCAAGTTGGTCAGGACCTCACTAAGTTGCTGAGGTTGGCTTTGAACTCATGATTCTCTTGTCTCAGCCTCCTGAGCTGCTGGGATTACGGGTGTGTGCCACTATGCCCAGTAGATATAACAGAACTTTAATTTTGATTATATCTTGATTATGGGTTTATGGATCATCTTACCTCTTCATTCTCATCTACATTTATTACTTAATAAATAAAGAAGGGGGGAAACTCTAAAAGCAATATTAAGAGGAAAACTCTACTAAACAAAAAATACATATTAAAACTTACTATGTCAGATTGTCCTCGAATATCTTCGAAAAGTTGCTGATATTTTAGAGCTGGGGTTTTGCCCTTTGATAAAATAAGTTTTTTCAATGCTTCAGCTAATTCTTCTTTCCGTTTACGAGAAGTGGCACTCATTCCTAATTTAAAAAAGAAAAATAATATTTCTGCAATTAGGAATTAAAATGTTTCAAATTCCTATAAACATTCCTTTAGTAGCATCACCAAGAAGGGTAAGGAGACTGTGGCCTACAATTCAAAAACATAAAGATGAGAAATGATCTCTATTGTGATTGCAAAATCAGCCTATGAACAAAGTCCCCCAGGGCAGAGCCCTGCTTTGACTCCCTTTCTGAAAGTCCCCAGTGCCCACACCATGCTAGAAGGTGCACTGCAGGGGCCTCAGCACCAGGTATCAGGAGGTAAGAAAGAGAGTGAGACACAATATATGTACAAAAGCTCCAGAATTCGAAAGGGACAAAAGCAGACCCTCCAAACACGGGGAAATGCTTTCAGCAATTCCTCTCCCTGCACTATCAATGACCAGGGCACAGGTAGCCCATGATCACTTTCGAATACAGGGGCTGTTCTTTTAAACTTTGTATATGCCAGTAGCTGCTACTTTATACTGAAAGACAGTCTATGTAATCTGTATAGTAAATACAGCCATAAATTGAGAGATGAACTGCTTTTTTAAAAAACTAGGTCATGCTGCCCAGATTGGCTCCAACTCCTGGGCTTAAGTGATCATCCCGTCTCAGCCTCCTTGGTAGCTGGGACTACAGGTATGTGCAACTGGCTCTGCTTCTTTTAAATGGGTTATCATAGGCAGAAACAGCAAAGGAGATAGACTTCCCTTAAAATTGTAGACAAAATTTTTTTGTCTTAGTTTTATCAGAAGATGGGAGGTGGTGGCAGCAACTTTGATCAGTCTCAAAGGGGCTCTAATCCCAAAATGGTTGAGAGAACATCTGCTTCAATCATTTAATAGTTGCTTACACCTAGAATGACAACCACTTATATTTAAATAATTTCCAAGTATTTTTTGTTCAAAGCAAGTAACAAACCTGTAGTAAGAATAGATATGTCCACAATGCCAGTCCGGGGGTCAGTTGCAGATTGTTTTAGAGCTTCCCGGTGGAGACGTTTTGCCTCTTCTACATCAATTGCTTCAACTTTGCTTGAAAATCGTACTTTAGCATGGGCTTCTGCTAAGCGAATCAATGACTCCAGCTGTCGAGGGTATGCAGAAACCATGCCTCGGCTACTACCAATCTTCCTCATGTCTACGTAAGCCTAGTGAAAGCAGAAAAAACAAAAGCAAAACCCCTTGCTCATAAGAAAATTTTGTGGCTGAATTTTGAAGTTAGGGGGCCATTAAATAAACTGAAATCCTGCTTGACTGTCTTGTACAGGTAATAGAGGGAAATCACAAGTCAAATCTAGTTTCTAGCCTTGGAGCTCATCAAGTGGTGGAGACTGACACATAGAACATGGGAGTTCTGGAGGAAGACCATAACAACACCTTGCAGCGATGGTGAGAAATATTCTGACTGAGGCCAGGCAGGTAATCCCAGTGGCTCAGAAGGCTGAGGCAGAAGTTCAAAAGCAGCTTTAGCAATTTAGCGAGACTCTAAGCAACTGAGTGAGACCCTGTCTCTAAATAAAATATAAAAAAAGGGCTGAGGGGATTTGGCTTAGTGGTTAGGTGCTCTGGGGTTCAATCCTCGGTACCACAAAAAACAAAAACAACACAACAACAAAAAACCCCAAATATTCCAACTGGGAAAGATTTCTTGAAGAAGGTAATATCTGATGTACCTTTGAAGAACAGAGAATTGCATTATGTGGCAGAGAAGGGGACATGGCTCATGGGGTGAGAAGTAGGTATGATTAGAGCAGATGAGGAATCTGACAAAAGCTCTTGAATACTGATTTTGATGTATACCTAGCAAGGATCTGTGTGATAAGGCACAGAAAGGATCAGTGGGATAATATTACAAAGATTAAGTTGTATTAATTTCATATATGACATAAACCTCAAGAATTTGATTCAGATGGAAAATTGTAACGTTCACTTAGCATTTTTGTAGCTCAGCGAGGATGGAAAGCCCATCAAGGTACCAAGAACCTTGATATTAGAATACCTGAGTAACTTTGGATGTGTCAGTGTACTGTGTCCTTATACAAGGATACTGAAAAGTGAAGGTAACATACCTCTTTAACACTCATTTTAATTCATTCAGACAAGAGAATGGAGTTTAAAGAAACTAGATTACTTGTCTAAAGTTATTAAGTGGCATTGCCCGTATCTGAACATAGGTCTTCTGATCATAAATTCACTGGGCTTACAAATACTCTATCAGGTTACCTCAATGAGAGCCTGGCTAGCCTCCTCACTCAGCCGGGGCATGATAGTGCTGTGAGCATACGCAATGTAGTCCTTTAGCACTGCCATGTCCAAGAATTCCTCCTCTGCTTGCTCCTCGCTCTGGTAGTACAATGCAACCAGGTGGTGAGCCAGACGCCTGTCATATGCCTCATCCTGAGGGTCCAGCATGAGGAAGATCAGATCAAACCTGAGGAACAGTAGGAAATAAACACTGTCTTTCTGTATGGGAGAAAACATATCTACAAACAGAATTTAACGGTTACTTGAGCCACTGCAGACTGTGTAGTGAACAAGCACCCAGTGAGGGCCATCACAGGAAAAAACAGCTTTCTATCCCTGAAAGAGCCCGTGGGTTAAACCTATGCAGTTTCATCCTTAGGTCTGTCCAGGTAATGGCTAAGTCATTGAAGTAAGACTTCCCTTAGGAAAATGTTACTACAATTCTGAAGATCTAAAGATTCAAAGGAAAATACCTTTGATTGTTTTCAGACACAGGAAAACAAAACAAAACACTATTTGGTTAGAAAAGGTAATTAAGATCTAAAATCCATATATATCCACATTTGGAGAGTAAGACTAAGAAAAAGTATGGCTCATATGATAGCTTTAATAAATCTCACTCTTTAAAACCCTTTCTAAACTGGGTGAGGTGGTGCACACCTGTAATCCCAGCGGCTTGGGAGTCTGAGACAGGAGGATTGCTAGCCTCAGCAAAAAAGGAAGGTGCTAAAGCAACTCAGTGAGACCCTGTCTCTAAATAAAATACAAAATGGGGCTGGGATGTGGCTCAGTAGTTAAGTGCCCCTAAGTTTAATCCCCAGTACACCCTTACTTCCCCCCCAAAAAAAGTTTCAATACCTTGACAATAACGTATGGGGTAGCTGGATGTTCTCAATGGTTGTTTTTTTAGGATTCCATTGAGATTCAATGGGGTTTGCAGCTGCCAGGATAGAAGTGCGTGCATTGAGCTGACAGATGATCCCAGCCTATAAGAAAAAACTGTACAGTTAGAAGCCTCACCCCGATGCTGGCAGCAGGAAAGAGTAGTGTCTGCTCAGAATCCTGCTAAACTTCACTCTAAATTTCTGCTACCCAAGGGCCTTATCACCTTTATTGACTTCCATAGTTACATGTGGAAATGTCCCATTCTTCATGCCTCATTTTAGATGAATGTGTGCCTCAGTCACATTTTTTTCTCAGGAAAACAAAAAAACGCCCCCAACCCTTGCAAGAACTTAAACACAAATGTTGGTGCTATGAATAACACATTAGTGGGTAGTACAGCAAAAATGATTAAAGAGGTTACTCTGTAGAAGACACTCATAGATTTAGCTGATAGCTGGTATGAAAAATATCAGTTCCCTCAAGTTAGAGCCAGGGCAGTGCTGAATAGCTCTACAGATGCTTTGATTCAAGGGACCCATACATTTACATGTGTCCAAGTACACAGTGAGACCATGGCTTACCTTGGCAATGGAGAGAGTCTGCTGCTCCATGACTTCATGCAGCACTGATCTTGTATTTTCACTCATCTTATCAAACTCATCAATACAGCAGATGCCATTGTCACTCAAGACAAGGGCACCTGTCTGCAGGACCAGCTGCCTGGTCTCAGGGTCCTTCATCACATATGCAGTGAGGCCAACTGCACTGGAGCCCTTCCCAGATGTGTACTGGCCTCTGGGGACCAAGTTATACACATACTGTAGCAATTGGGACTTGCTGGTACCAGGGTCACCACACAGCAGAATATTGATCTCAGCACGAAATTTGCCCCTTCCTGTGTGACTAAAATCCTTCCTTGTTCCACCAAATAGCTGAAGCAAGATTCCCTAAAAATCAAAAACAAAAAAACCCCAAACAAATAACACATAATGATGAATGTTCACTTACTGCATAACAGATTTAGCTTAAATTTTAGAGGTACCTATCTATTCTTAATTGAAGGTGTTAACAAAAAAAGCACATGAAAGTGCTTTGATTACTTTAAACTATCACTAATATTACAAAACAATAACAGATCAAGTGCATCAATTATTTACCCACTTTCTGAAAAATTTAAATCATGCCAGAACACTACTCACATAAATCTCTATTCTGACCCCATGTGGCCAAATATGTTTAGAAACACGAATGAGTTCAGTGCATAGATGAGTAAACAGACAATAATTCTATGATTCCCAACCAATGATCAAGGCAACACACCAACACCCTGCTCTATCAAGCAGTAACTATTATCCTCAAGAGGATGGCAGTAAATGGAAGATGAGTGTTTATACTGGATCTCAAAGAACTGTAGATTCCAACTCTGAGTTATAAATCCTTTGTTACCTTTTTAATATTTATTTATTTTTAGGTGGTGCTGAGGATCAAACCCAGGTCCCACCCATGCTAGGCTCTCCTGCTCTACCCCTGAGCCACAATCCCAGCCCTGTTACCTTTTTTATATCTTCGTGTTCATAAATGCTGGGAGCCAAGGCTGAAGCAAGTCTCTCATAAATGTCTGGTTTCCTAGAAAGTTCCTTAAGCAATTCCACACGTTTCTCTGAAAAAAGTTTCTGTTCTGCTTCTTCATCAAGACCATGCAAGCGCTTTGCATCCGTCTTCCGATAATGGATGACATCAATGTGGGTTTTGTAGACAGACTTCACATTACTCACTCTTGGATTAACTCGAATAGGTACTGCTCGATAGATGCCTGAAAATTACAACCAGGAGACACACTTTTACCCTCAGGCTTGTTCTTCTGAAGGGCTAAGTAGGTAGCAATGGCCAAGGTGAGATGCTCCATGCTGAGCTCCTAAGACATAACCTCAGTGGGCCTCCTGGGCTGAGGACTTGGGCGTTTACTATTAAGCTCCTGTCCTTTTTTGATCAAGTCGGGTAATGGCAACAGGAAAAGGCCACGCTGGGAAGAACATAGGTTTCTGAGGATGGTGGACCTAAAATCATATTCATCTGTTTTCCCAATAGCTATGACCTTGGGTATCTATCTAGATATAACTGCATGGCATAAAATCATTCTGGGGATGAAATGACATTACACTGCTTCCAGCACAAGGCCTGGCTCATGATTATGTTCAATATATAGTACTTGTATTTCCATAGGCTCAGTGCTCAAGACCTGCTAACAATTTTGACAGGAACATATGCTGAAATCCCATACCAAAAACTTGGAAAGAAAGAAAATTCTAAAAGCTCAAACTAGAAAGTAAGTTTCATGAATAAGACAGACTACTGGGTCAAAGGTGAAAGAAAAAGGACTATTTTTGGTTAGTAATCAAAGGTGTTTCTGAGTATTTTCCTGAGAATACAATTCGAGGGCTGGGAATGTAGATCAGGACTAAAGCATTTGCCTCGCCTGTGCAAGGTTCCAGCTGCAGCACTGCAAAAAACAAAAATCCCCCAAAATAAAGAATATAATTGAGAAATTACAAAACAATAACACATCAAGTGCACCAATTATGTACCCACTTTCTCAAAAAAGGAATGTTTCCCAGAGCGATATGTCTGATGCTTACCTTCTTTGGATTTCAAACTACAAGCCTTAAGCTCCAAGTTGATTCCATTTCTGGCTACTTTTTGAGGATAAAGTCTGATATTTGTCTTTCTTATAACAATTGTCCTTTATGTACTTAACAGGCCAATGCAATTCTCATTTAAATATAAAAAGTAGTTTAAACATAATATTCTTAAAATACACACTAGATGGTTGTTCACACCAAGATGGGTGAGGGTTATTATGCTGATGACATTTGAATTGGCTTGGTTATCTTCCTGTACACATTTGTTGTGATTACCCTAATTCTTTCACATGTATCATCACATTGATCCACATATTGGATTAAACCCTTTATCAAAGGTTCAGAGAAGTTGGATGGCAGAATTGGGATTATATCTCTTTCTGTAGTGACTACACATGCTTTTGAATTTTCACCTATTACACATATTTTTATAACCTAAGGTTGTTAGTGATCACTGCTTAGCTTTTAAGCCAAGGAAGAAACAGGATGAGAAATCTTAACTTATTGAGAGAACAGAGAAACTGTGGGCCTCAGGCCCAGAGCCAGTGTCCCTGGACTCATTCCCCACATGAAAAACAATGTGCTAGACAATCTTGAGAGACCAAGTACCTACATGCCTCCAAAATGTATGAAATACTGCTGCTCATTTGGTACTAAGGAAAGTGTGCTCTTGGTAGGAGGAGACAGGATCTGGAGCCTGGAACCATAATTTACAGCGGCACCGAGTTGTATCTACCTACTCGCCTTTGTGTCAGTCTCTCAGCATGAAAATAAAAAGCACTCTGGCCAGGCACAGTGGTGCATGCCTGTAATTCTAATGTAGCTTGAGAGGCTGTCTGGAGGATCATGAGTTCAAAGTCAGCCTCAGTAACTTAGTGAGGCCCTAAGCAACTTAATGAGACCCTGTCTCTAAATAAAAATACAAAAAAAGGGCTGGGCATGTTTCTCAGTGGTTAAGCACCCCTAAGTTCAATCCCTAGAACCAAAAAAAGGAGCACGGACCTGTCCTGTAAAAGACATGAAAAAACTGTACATTTGGGAAATAAGTAGGAAATTACTTACAGCTTGAATTAGTGTGATTTCTCTGTGTTGCTGGTGCAGTTCAAATCCTATCAATATCCTACTTAGCAGCAGGTGTTCTCTTGTGATGCCAACACTAGCAATTTTTTTTTTTTTTGGATACAGTGGATTGAACTCAGGGGGACCACTGAACCACATCCCCAGTCCTTTCTGTATTTTATTTAGAGACAGGGTCTCACTGAGTTGCTTAGCACCTTGCTTTTGCTGAGGCTGGCTTTGAAGTCATGATCTTCCTGCCTCAGCCTCTGGAGCCACAGGGGGTATAGGTATGTGCCACTGTGCCGGACCAATACTAGCAATTTGAGACACACATATAGTATTGGGAGACTGATACAACAAGGTGCAAGTGACCACAAGAACCATATGTCCCGAAATTTGAGTACGGGAAGAACTACAGGATTTCAGTGCTGGACTATGGTACTATGGTGAGGTGAGTAAAGCGGGAGTACCCCCACACCCTTGAAGATCTGCATTACCCAACACTGAAAGTGGCATGAAAAGTAGGACATTCTGTCATACTGGTAGAAAACTACATCTTACCTGTGACATTCACTCTGTCCCCAGGCTGAACCTTGTCCACGAGATCATTGTGAGCAAAAAGGACAACAGTATGAGGTGTCTGCCCAGCAGGCATGTCTTCAGGGGACTCTTGAAGTTTGATCTGAAGGGTAAGCAGTGAACAGAATAAGCTTGGGAAACAAAAAAGCACCGTGGAGACAAAAACCCAGCTGTGTCTTTGTATTGCTTAGACAAATTTGATACCTGGCATCTTCTTTTTATTTGGACTGGGTTAGAGCATTTGCCTAGCACGTGTGAGGTACTGGGTTCAATACTCAGCACCACATAAAAATAAATAAAATAAAGGTACTGTATCCATCTACAACAACAAAAAAATCTGCTTACTTGCCACTGTAAGGTTGTAGTGCATTCTGTATCTCCTTGCATAAATGTTCGCTATTTCTAATTATTCCTTCTAGTAGGGGCTAAGGGTGCAATTGAGCAGTACAGCACACACACAAAAAGTTAGTGACGTATTTCCTGGGTGCAGAAGTACATGCTTTTAAGGCTCACCATTTAGGCACTTCTGCACATCCCCAGGGACTTGCCCATGTCCCTGTCTATGTCCAGTTATAAAATAGGCACCTACTGAGCACTTGCCCCATTCTGGATCCTATTGTAGGTACTGGGGACTCACAGTAAGAAGTTCCTTCTTCATGAAGTGAAGGGGACAGACAATACACAGACAAGTGAACATGCAAGAGATCTCACAGTACCAATTGCAATGAGCAGAAACAAAACAGGGCAAGGCTATAGGTTAGGTGGTGGGAATGGTGATGCTGAGGTAAAACCAGGACCTGAGTGCTATCTGAGGATGTTGGGGTTTTATTCTAAGTTACTGGGAATCTTTGAAGGATTCTAAGAATACCATCCTACAAGTACATGGTAGCAGGGACTCTCCCTTAGTATCTCTAGCTCTCAGTCCTGTTCAACACTCTGAATTAAACTATTTGAACAAAGAAAACTTCATAAGTCCTTTTTAAAAAATTGTTGATAGATGTTTATTTTATGTATTTATATGTAGTGCTGAGAATTGAACCCAGTGCCTCACACATGCCAGGCAAGTGTGTTACCGCTAAGCCCCAGCCCCAAAGTCCTTGTTTTTGCACAACTTCCATACCACAGTGAATGACTGCTTTTCCTCCATTTATTTCTATATGAAATGAATACTGGACATTGAACCCAGGGCACTCTTCTACTAAGCTATATTCCCAGCTCTTTTTATTTACAAGCAGTGCCAATTGGACTGGGTTAGAGCGTTTGCCTAGCTAAATTCAGCTAAATTGCTGAAGCTGACTTTGCTTGTAATTTTTCTACCTCCGTCTATAGAGTTCCTGGTATTATAGATGTGCCACATCATTCCTGGCTTTTTTCCTTTACCATCATACCCATGTTTTTTTGTGGCACCATTCACAACAGCCAAGCCATGAAATAGCCTAGATGCCTATCAATGGATAAACGGACAAAGAAAACACACACACACACACACACACACACACAAACAATGGAACATCATCCAGTCACAAAGAATGAAACCACCCTTTCAAGCAAAATAACCCAGACTCATAAATACAAGTATCATGTTTTCTTTCATATGTGTAATCTTGTCATCATTTTTAATTTTTTCCCTTCACTTTTTAAGTACTCTTTCCTGGTGAACTTACCAAAACGCTTTGCCATCTCCCCCCATTATTTTATCAACTTTATGTAAGCCTAGAGAAATTCTGAGGCAGAGTTAAGAAAGCCTGCCACCCAACTAGCTTAGTTATCCTCTCCATGCAAGGAAAGGGTTAGGCAGAGAGAACCTGAAGCCTGTACTGAGTCCATCTCCATCTCAGAATATTCATGATGAAAGAGGGCTCAAATTTCCTAAACAATAAAATCTGTGAGTAAAACTTCAGAACATTTCTCCATACATTAGTTACCAATGTAAAATGATGGAATTTAACCAAATAAATCCAATCTCAAATGTTTTATAAATTTGTATCTAAACTAAAACATCATATAACCTTAAGTGGTTCCACGAAAGTATCTCATGATAAACTTGAAGCAGAACAGAGGTGGAAATGTGTGTATGGGAACCCCATCCTCGGGGTAGAATGGCCACCTACCATCTGCTTGTCGGAGAAAAGGGAGCGGTTGTGGATGAGAGCCATGCTGTGTGTAGTGTGGCAGTGCCCGCAAGCAGAGGGCTCGGCAATGCGGCCACGGTCCATTTCCACCCGGGTCGTGTGGGCACATACTTGGCACTGGAAGAAGGCCTCCTGCATCTCAGGGATCAGCTGGGATGTCCTGATGACCATGCCACTGATGGTGATGAGCTGATCAATGTCTATAAGTGGAGAGAGGCTGGTTTGTCAGTCAGCCACTGCCCATGGCCCAGCCAGGCCTGGACCTGCCATCAAGCAGCAGAATCTTACTGATGTGCAAAGGTGCTGGGGACAGATGGGGTCAGAGCAGGCTAGGTACCTTTAAGACTGGCCTAGGATGCCCTCCCTGTGTCTAGTTTACTTTCCTCTCAACCTTAGTCCACTCTTATCTCCTTCTTCCTCTGTCTAGTAGACATTCCATCCCCTCCATTATCCTTGATGGATTAGAAACGTGATGCTTTTGCGTATTTTGTCCCATGGTCTCTGATCTCACTCAAGATGCCTCCTGACGTCCTATGGTCTCGTATGAAAAGTGTGTGCTCTATAGTCAGATGACCTGGACTGAGTATGTACAACTTTGGGAGACACCTGAGGCAACCATCATTGTCAACACAAGAGAGCCTCTTTTACAGTTTCATTTTTAACCCTTGCTCAAGCTTCCTGTTTGAATCTTTCCAATAGACCAATTTAATCCCTCTGTTGGTCATTCAACCCCACTCCCACTGGTGGTTCACATGAGTTTCACTCCTCTGGGCAGTAAACAAAATGTGGCTGTGGTCAGTCATTGCTGGTCTTGAAGACTGTCCCATCGTGACAGCACTTACTGGGGAGTCAAAGTCTTTAATATTTGTTTGATCCAGTCTTTCCTGTACTAATGAACAAATCATCCTTGTTTCCTCACTGCTCATCTTTCTTTGCCTTTGAAAATTGATAAGCATGGGTTATAATACCTGACTTCCCACCAGACTGTCCCCTCATAAAAATGTCAGGAGACAATTTTGTAAGAGATAAAAACAAGAAACAAAACACAACTCTTTAGTAAAGCTACAAGAGACTTCGAGTTCATTGCTATATCATATTCTCTTACTGAATTTTTTCGTGTCCTCAGCACAGGATAACCTTTTTTTTTTTAGTTGTAGATGGACACAGTAGCTCAATTAAGGGGCATCAGAGTATCTTGTGAGGCTATGGCTCAGTAATAGAACACTTGCCTCACATGGGTGAGCTACTTTCAAAATCTACTCACTGAACTACAATACACCTTGCAAAACAGAACCACTCATTGTATACTTCAAGAATGGCAATTTTTTTTTGTCAAAAAGCATCAAATGTTTCCCTATTTATGCTGTAATAAAATCTAAATTCTTTCTCAAGTTGATGCAGAAAGGTTTCTAGTATCTAGGCTTCACAGTCACACGCAACCATTGCCTCCCAAATCCCCTGCTTTGGCAACCCATATCATTTAGTATCCACACAAAGCTCTGTCTGCTTTTTTGTTTCTGTGTTTCTTCTGACAATTGTCTAGAAAAAATTTCTTCATGTTTGCTTTCCAAACCTAACAATCCAATTTATCATTTACCATTAACATATCCCCCAGAAAACTGGGCATTCTGCTCCTCCTCCTTGACCACGTAATTTCCTACACTACTCTTCTGTTATTCTGCCCCATCTTTTATTTACTTGCCAAAGTAGATTTCTTTCTTAAGCTTAAGGGTGGGGACCATGTTCTGTATTTATTTTCTACAGTAGCTAAAAAAACATCTACCTAATAACTGTAGGTTTATTGTATTTTATTAGGTTTGCATTAAAGTAGAGAATTGCTAGTAGCCACATCTTTTATAACAAATATTACAGTTAAGTTAGAAAAAGACATAATTGGGGTTCACATTAAGTATATGAATCTGCATTATTTGGTCAATTTATAATTCATTACAACCACTTTTTTTTTCTTCCTTGGGTGTGGGAGGTACTGGGGATTGAATTCAGGGGCACTCACCCACTGAGCCATATTTCCAGCCCTAGTTTGTATTTTATTTAGAGACATGATCTGAATCGCTTAGCACCTGCCTTTAGCTGAGGCTGGATTTGAACTTGCAATCCTGGTGTCTCAACCTCCTGAGATTATAGGCGTATGCTACCACTTTGTTCGTTTTCTTGCTATCAAATACATTACCTTCTGGATTTAGGTTTCTCATGTTCTTTGTCTTCAATGCATTAAATGGTCTTACTTGAATCTGATGTTCTAAGATGGAGTCAGGGTAACGATCAAAGAAGATCTCATTGACAGCCATGTCAAAAGTAGGGATAACTTCCTGTAAAAACCAATATAAAGATTCCAAACTATGTTTCCATTCCTATCTTGGAGTTAAATCTAAGATACAAAATACTTCATGGCAGGAAAGTATAAAAGCAGAAAAACACGACATAACCCCATTACCCTACAGATTTATATACATGATACTTTCAAACCTTAGGTATACTGAACTATCTTACTTCTGGCATATTCTCATTTGGGTTAAATGAAAGTGCCTTCTCAACTTGCTGGCATGTGTTATGCTTTTGATTTGTAAGGGAAAGATTTGCGCTCATATTTTCATGTCTGTCTTATGTGTCTTCCATAATGTAATGATACCACATAGGTTAAATTGTACTTATTTTACTCAATTTTTTTTTTTTTTTTTTGTGGTGCTGGGGATTGAACCCATGGCCTTGTGCATGTGAGGCAAGCATTCCACCCCAACTGAGCTATATCTCCAGCCCTATTTTACTCCAATTTAACACGATTCTCCAACTATAGATGGAGAATCAACTTTTGGGAGGCCAAGGAACTTGACCAAGGTTATACAGCCAGTAAGCAACAAAGGCGTGATTCCAAATCCAAGCCTATGTACCTCCAAAGCTTACACACCTCCAAAGCTTACACCTGTCAATAAAGCTGATGTTCATTACAGGCTAGAAGCAACACATTATGGCTAATATAGTCCATTAAAAATGGCAGAAAGTATATAACACATTTACAAAACATTTCAATTTAAGATAATTTGTTTCATGAAGCCAAGAAACTATTTAAGATTCATGATTATTTTGTTAGAAAAATAACCAATTCAACCCTGACACTCAACTATGAGAACTATGATAGTAACACACATGCCAATTGGAAAAACATTAAAATGTAAAAACAATGACTTTGAAAGAATGTGTTTTTAAAAAAAAAAAACATATATGTTTTGGAGGGATCTTTTTGTTATGGAAATCTTGCTATCTAAAAACATCCCTCTAGATATTTACAGTATTTCATCAAGGTCAAAGCCAAATTCTTACCTGTGGGTAGGAGATGAGCTGTCTGTACAAATTCTTGTCAAATGATTTTATGTGTTCAGAGTTTACATTTAAAAATGGCTCTCCAATAACATTAATCTGTAAGATAAAACAAATAAGTTATACTTTGCTAATTTTATTATTATATAATGTATAACTTCTAAGTTGCTTAGGGCCTTGGTAAGTTGCTGAGGCTGCCCTTGAACTTTTGATCCTCTTGCCTCAGTCTCTCAAGTTGCTGGGATTACAGGTGTGCATCACCATACGAGGTATAATGCACACTTTTTTTTAAAAAAATTTTTTAAAATACTTATTTTTTTTTAATCGCAGTTGGACACAATACGTTTTTTTAAAAAATTAACTTATTTTTATATGGTGCTGAGTATCGAACCCAGGGTCTCACACGTGCTAGGCGATCACCCTATTGCTGAGCCACAACCCCAGCCCCAGAATGCACAACCTTAAAAAAAAAAAAAAAAAAAATTACATAGCTTTAGGTGGACACAATATGTTTTATTTTTATGTAGTGTTGAGGATCAAACCCCGTGCATGCCAGGCGAGCACGCTACTGCATGAGCCACATCCTCAGCCCAATGCACAACTCTTTAACAAAGAAAATTTGATTACCTCTCCAAGTCGTTGCATATACACAGGCTCAGTAATATCTATGCCAACATTTTCTTCTTCTTTAGCCATAGGGTCAATAAACCGCTGAAGAAATCTCTTGATGTGAAGAGGAAAAATATTTAAGCTTAATGCAATAGGAAATATGCAACTATTCAGAATACAAAAAGTAATGTGTATTTCACTTTGAGAAGATAAAACAAGTATTTTTTGAAATGCATCAACTTATAATCTTCCCCTATGCTTTATGGTTAGTTCCATTTAAATTATAAAATCTTTTTAGAGCCCTTAAGTATGTATTTTATTTATCTTTACAATTTTTTTGTAGTTGTATGTGGACAGAATGACTTTTTTTTTTAATGCAGTGCTAAGGATTGAACCCAGTGCCTAACATGTGCTAGGCAAGTGCTCTGCCACTGAGCTACACAGCCCTAGCCCCTTAAGTCTGTATTTTAACACATACAACTCACCTGAAAATTTTCCTTGCATGTTGCCACATTTACATCTGTTCCCCAGATGACAAGTTTTTGGCCCAGTGACTGCTCACTTGCCACTACATCCTCTGCTGCTGCCTACAAAGAAAAGTATTACAGAGCCATACCAATGGAATTATCCATTTTTGTTCCCAAGACAGTGCTATCAGGAGACTGTTGTGTACTCACCCCATCAGATTGCAGATCCACCTGAAGACCCTTCCGTGCAGAGCCCAGGTCAGGTCTCTGCCTCACAGGTGTACCCCTAACCCCACTCCTTGGGGTTCCTTCCACCCGAGAGCTAGGAGTGCCATAGGTCAGTGGTGAGCTAACATCAAAGTCCAGAGGAATAGCTACCAAGATAAACGCAGAAGTTTACAACAGAATTCTAGTAGTACAACAAACCTGAAACTATGAGCATGTCTGCTCTGCCTTCAAAACAACACGAACTGAGTATCTATTGATACGTTTGGTGGTTGAAGTTTTGAGGACCACTAAAGGTTCTAACTTAAAAAGGCAAAAGAATAGCTGCTTTCTTTGCTCACTAAGCCCTAACATGTACCAGCTCTTCTTCGTTCTCCAGCTCTTTTAATGAAGAACAAATTAGCTTATGCACAGAGGGAATGCTTAGGCATTAAGAACTACTGCCACCAAATAACCAACCTGACCCTTTGTACTATCAATCCCAGTATAACCTAGATCTTCAGAAACTCACTTGAAGAATGCATCTGAGGAGGACTGGAAAACAATGCATCCTGCGCTGCAGGGCTCTGCAGGTCTGCTCCGGGCGAGGTGGGCATGGGCTGCAGCTCACCGGTGGAGGTGGAATCCTCGCCTCTACGTCTCTGAGAGGGAGATGACCTGGCCTCTTCATGGAAAACAACAAACACGGCTCTCAACTTTCATGTTTGGTCTTCCAGGATTTGCCTCTTGATAGGATTAGATTCATTACTTTAACACAAATGATGGCAAGTGGGAACGGACATGCTTAACCAATAGAAACGAAGAACCCAACCCGCTAAAGTCGAGTTGAGCGCCCCCCACCGTCGGCATCTTCGCATCGACGCGGCAGGGCCCGCGGCGCAGGGCTCTCCCGCCAAAGGGAAGTCGCAGGGCGGAAGGCGTGGGGGCCGATGGGAATCCGTATGGACTAGTGCCCGAGTTGTGTGTGGGGGGGGGGGTGGGAACGCGAAACTTACCCGTATGCGCGGGGGTGGCCCGTCCGCGCCGGCTGCTGCGGCGGCTCGGGGTAGATGCTGGAGACGACATGGTGCCAGGATAACTGCACGACAAGGACAGGCTCGCGTCGAGACGCCCCCACCGGGATCTGAGCGGAGTCCTCCCTGTAGTCCCGCGATTACCAGGGAAGGGCTGCCGCCGGCACACACCTAAGAGGTCAAGTTCTACCTGGAGAGTTGCTCTTCTCGACAGCACGAGCAGGGCCAAGCGTTCCCGCCGGCAGCACGATCGACGCCGCCCTCGGCGGCCTCACCAATCACAGAAGCGCTCCCAAATGGTTCCTCCTCTGGAAGGCGCCACTGCGCAACTATAGGGGGAGGACTGAACGGCCTTTTTGGGCACCCCAGCCGAAAGCTGACTTAGGACCCGCTTGGCCCTACCCGCAGTGCAGATGGTTTGACCTGCTGCCGGACCGCATTTTCGCGGGAAATCTGGGACGTCCTACAAAGCCAAGTTTCGGAGGGGTGTTCTCCACTATAATGTTAAGAGCTTTTTAATCCCATAGTTTTTTAAGAAAATTTCTAGAGACATTTCAAACGCATTTCTTATTTTTTTTTTTAAATCGAGGAAAAACTTTTGACTAAGGACCCTAGATTGTGTTTTTACTCTGGTCAAACCGTTGAGTTCCTGTTTTTCCGTAAATTTGGATGTATACCTGCTAAGTGTATTATATGTTATGCATTCATAATCTGCCGGCGCGCTAATTTAGGTCTAAACGAGAAGTTTCTACCCAGAGGACCCTCCCGAGAGAGAGTCTCGTGGAAGGACCCCGCCTCTGTTGCCCCGCCCCTAGTCTGGAGTCCTGCTCCTGCGCCGCCGCGCGGCAGCCGGGGCCCCGGCAAAGTGCGCGCTTGCGCAGCGTTAGCGTCCTCGTCATGGCGGATTCCGGAGCAGTTTTGCAGGGTTACCTGCTTCGGCTGCAGGAGTCCTTATCCACTGCGGACCGCTGCAATGCTGCGTCGGCCAGTTATCAGCTGATCCGCGGCCTGGGGCAAGAGTGCGTCCTGAGTACCAGCCCTTCGGTCGTGGGTGCGTACAGTTCCGGACACGGCTTTCCGAGTAGTGTTGGAGCTAGACAGCCCAGCTTCTCTCCCCTGGGTTTAGGTAACACTACTGCGAAGTCTCCCTCACTTCTGTGAATGTGTATGAAAAGCGGTTTGCCCTATATCGTTTCCCCCTAGCACCAGAAGAAAAGTATTTTAAAACCTAAGTTGGTGAAAATGACTCTAAATTTGTCAATCATTGCTACAGCTAGTGGGTGGAGAGGACAAGAGAAAATATTTCCCTTTGCCTCGTCTCACCTAAACCCACCAGTACCTTTCCAAACTCTCATATTTACTGTCCCGCTTTTACGAAGACTTGCAGAAATATAATTGAAAAGTCATTAAAAAAAAAAACTTTTGTCAATGCTTGGACGAGAATGATATTTTTCCTTTGCAGTAAAAAAGTGCTTATTTTCAGCATTTTTCAATTTAAATATGCCGTTGCATGAAAACTTATGTATTCCTGTTTTCTTTTTCCCCCATTTTAAATTGATGCGTTATAATTGTAGATTATGGTGAATTCCTAGTTACCTATTTGTACATGCATACAGTGTAACAACGTACTTTGGCCAAAATTGTATTCCTATTTTAAAACACAAGTATGTAGACCTCATCTGCATGGTGTGCCCTAGTAAGAGCTAGATGAGATCTTTCTAAGAGGTCAGTACTGAGTACAGTGTAAAAATCTAAACCACTCTTTAAACAAGATACTATGTTGTGTCTGTGTATTGTTAAAGATATATTAGTAATGGGGAAATATCAAAAAACTAATGACTTTACGTAATTGCTTTTTATAGTCAGGTTTTCAAAGTTAGAATTCATGTTTGTTTAGTAACTCATGTTTAAAGTGATTTCTAGTTTACTGTGAATATGCAATATATGTCCTTTCACTTGAGAGATTTTAGAGAAGTATAGCAAATACCACATTCTTAGTGACTTAAAGTGACATTCATTTGTTAATCTTACATAGTGAGAAGCCTGATGTAGTCTCATTAAGTTAGAAAGAGCCAAGGTATCAAGGCTAATTTCCTTTCTGAAGGCTTTTGGTGAGAATCCTTTTCTTATTCAGGTTGTAGAATAAGGTCCCTGTTTCTTTGCTGATGTTCTTTGCTTCTAGAAGGGGCCCAGTGTCCTTGGATTGTAGCCTCTTTGTCCATCTTCAAAACCAGCAACCGTTTGTCAGCTACTTCTCAGGAGAGGTTTGATATCTCTTGTGTTTTCCTGTCTTTTCATCTTCGTGCAAGTCAGCTGAACAGCAGCCTTCATTTTATCTGCAGTCTGATTTCCTTTACCGTGTAAAGTTAATATTCAGAGATGTGACACCACAGATTAGGGTATGGACATCTTGGAGGAGTGTTTGTTCCCCTACTGCATCCCTATGGAACATCATTTAGAATTTTCTCCTTTCTTTGTTATAATATAGCAGCCTTAGGTTAGTGTTTTCATATTTAAAAGTCCTCCTTGGAAACCTTGCAGCCTTTTTAGGGTGATTTATGAAATGCTTGGCAACTCTTAACTTATTGTTTGTTTGTTTGTCCAGCATTACAGACTTCCTTAGTTTTTTCCAGAGATTTTGGTTTGCTTGTATTTGTTCGGAAATCACTTAACATTGATGAAGTAAGTGAAAAATTTTAATTTTGCTTTTTCTGTTTTTGTTGAAGTGACTCTAATTCTTAACCATATTTACAATATTTATTTCTTTTATTATAGTTTCGTGATTGTAGAGAAGAAGCCCTAAAATTTTTATATGTTTTCTTAGAAAAAATTGGTCAGAAGATTATGCCTTATGCTTTTGATATTAAGGTAAGGAGGAAGAAACATACCTTAGTACATGTCAATATCTATTTTAACATATGATGTAAGGAATCTAGATTTTTATTTTGTTTATGCCTTTCTTATTGGGGAGTATACTTAATTTTGCTATGTAGTGGGCTTTTCATTGTTTTAGAATTAATAAGCTAAGACCCTTGAAATACTACTTTGATAATTTTTTTTTTTTTTTTTTTTTGGTACTGATCTTGATCATTCTTTGCACCTGGGATAATTTGGATTTTTAAAACTGGGAAAATTCCAGAATACTTTAATGGATAATTCCAAAAAGAGTCCTCTTGCTGGGTAGAATCCATACTTCCTGTAGTTCATGTTTTCTTTTTTATTTAAAAAATTTTTTTTTAGTTGTAGATGGACACGATAACTTTATTTTGTTTATTTAATTTGTTTACGTGATGCTGAGAATCAAACCCAGTGCCTCACACATGTTAGGCAAACACTTCCAAAATGGAAACAATAGAGCCCCAGCCCAGTTCATGTGTTTTCTACGAGAGTTTCATCTGAAAAGTTTGGCTCTTTCATGCCTCTCATTCTTCTCAAACATGCCTTTGCCAGGTTTCCTTATAATTTATTATGGAACTAGCAATCATAAATTAGGTCACTCTTTCTCATTCTTTCTTATACTTTCAACAATTATCTCATTTCAAGGTAAATTATTTTTGTTGGCCCTTTGGAATTTGCTTTTAGATTTAGTGTGTTAAGAATTGAAGAAACATAGACAGTAGCTGAATTGGACATCATTTTCTTATGCTCATGTGTGAACACATGACTAGTGTAACTCCACATCATGTACAACCATAAGAACGGGAGGTTAGACCCCAGTGTATGTATAGTATGTCAAAATACACTCTACTGTCATATATATCCAAAAAGAACAAATAAAAATTAAAAACAAAAACAAAACAATACAAAAAAGAATTGAAGAATTAGAAAGTATGATTGACTCTAAGTCTCTAAGTATGTGTGAGTTCCACAGCCATAGATACCTGCTGATTAAAAAAAATCACTACCTGATGATTAAAAAAAAAAAAAAAATCTGAACTGAATACGAACAGACTTTCTTGTGGTTATTCCCTGATTAGTACAATATAACAATTATTGACAGCATTCACATTGTGTTAGTAGTCTAGTAATGACTCAAAGTATGTGGGAGGATATACCGGGATTATATGAAAAAATATGCCATTTTATGAAAGGGATTTGAGTATCACCCACAGATACTGAATGGCAGCTATATTTTGAGAATTAAAATTGGCTAAAACATAAAATATTCATTTTACCAATTATTGGTCTTTTTAAAGTAGATTTTGTTTTTGTGCTTTTAAAATTCCCTTTGGATTTCTAGTCTGTCTTCGTTGGATTTTTTATTTTTTAAATGTATATGTGTGCTGGGGTTGAACCAAGGGTCTCATACATGTTAAGCATATGCTCTGCGGCTGATCTACACCTCCCAGCCTGAGGTATTAATCTCTCTAGTTTAACCAACGAGACTTAAAGTTAAGAAACTTGCCCATCTTTTGCAGCCAGCTCACCTAATGCCAGAGCACCTGTTGTTTTCATCACACTGATTTTTCCTCTAGAGTCCCAGACATTCTTTCAACTTTTTCTTAGTCACTTTTTTTTTTTTAAAGAGAGAGTGAGAGAGGGAGAGAGAGAGAATTTTAATATTTATTTTTTTAGTTATTGGTGGACACAACATCTTTGTTTGTATGTGGTGCTGAGAATCGAACCTGGGCCGCACGCATGCAGGCAAGCGCGCTACCGCTTGAGCCACATCCCCAGCCCCTCTTAGTCACCTTTTTATGCTCTCTTTCTTGACATTGGATAACAAATCCTATGGGACTTATGTGAGAAGGAATGACCTGATATTGTAAAGTCCTACTGAGGTATCTATTGACTTTGTGCTTTTAAATTGTTATTGATATCACCACAGCATATTGCATCAATATTTTCAGTCATTTTTAATCAAAACATTATGTACTTTGATGTTATACTTTCAAAAGTCAAAATACTAAGTTTTATTATGTCATACATTTTGTTATCTTATATCACTCCTCAGGGATATAGTTTTAGCACTCATTAAAATCTTATTGATTTGGTATGTTTCCTTTTAAAATCCAGAGTATTTGTACCAGTGTTTATACAAAGGATAGAGCTGCTAAATGTAAAATTCCAGCCCTAGATCTTCTCATTAAGGTAATTTTTTTTGTGTTTAAGTACAATTTTTTTTTGTTAAACATAATAACTTATAAGACATAAAGTTGGGAGTTTTGAGCTTTTGGGGAGGATAGGGTTGAATCCCATCTTGAGTGGATAAGATGCACACTTCACAGCCATCACCTGATAATACCTTGGTATTTTGTTCTTAGACTCTCCTACGT